ACTTTATGTTTTTCACTTATTCAGATTCAAAGCGGATCATGGTCAAAAATAGAGAAATCAGAGGTATTAATACCAAATGGTGCGAGTGCCGGTACCAAAATTCAAGTAGGCTTAGNCATTGGGAACTTATCTCTCTAAAACTACTCGTAAACTTAGGTAGCCTCTTCCCTTCCAAAGCTTGTATGAAGCTGAATATATTGTGTAGAGCCCTTACAGTTTCGTCCATGAGGCTCCCCATAGCCTATGTGTGCATGCTTCCCATCAATGGGGGGTAAGATGATGACTTGGACAAGCTAGGTCAAGCTTAGCCTGCACCCACCATGCCTCCATCTTTCTCTCTCCTCATTTCCCATCCTCCATCTTCCAAGGATGACTTTAGGGTGTAACAGGCATGTATGTATGTAGAATATGTCAAGGGACAAGTGGGAGAATCATAGGTGGGACTCCTAAGTGGCAGAGCTTGAGTTGTAGGGTGTTCTGACAGTTTTGAGCCAAACCTTCCAGAAGGTCTTCTGGAAGGTGTCAGCTCATAACTAGTTTTCATAAAATTGTTATAAATTTTGATCCAACTGTCTGATTAAGCTAAAATTTTGACACAATATAGAGGACATACAGATCTACAACTTTATGTTTTTCACTTATTCAGATTCAAAGTGGATCATGGTCAAAAATAGAGAAATCAGAGGTATTAATACCAAATGGTGCGAGTGCCGGTACCAAAATTCAAGTAGGCTTAGATACCCGTGCCTATGATACCAAATACCACCACCTACTTGATCTCTTTCACTTTAAAGCCTCATAATCCTAATGTAATGTGTCCATCTCTTCACCACTCATCCACACTTAGTTGCAGGGTTCCAAAAGCTATCATTTATCCTATGATTACCTACAACATCAAAATTTTCACATTATTCATAACTTCGACTAACTCTAAGTAATGAAATGCAAAGTTAAAATACATGTACTGAGGCCATTAAATATGCAACATTACATGATCATCACCCTCTCTGGAGATCTTTGAGAGTATATTATTTTACTCTATTAGAATTAAGTTCAAGTGCAGCTCGAAGCCCAAAAATCCCTAATATTGATACGTACTAAATGGTAGCATAAAAATGTCTAGTGATAGGAATTGAAATAAACTAAGTATATCTATGAAACAATGTTCCCAACTCAAAAATTTCAAGGTCCCATTTACCTCAAGCATAGTTAATGAGAAACAATAAAAAGTTCAATCTTACCTTGAACCAAGCAAATTAAATTAAAAGGACGAACTTGGTAAAAATGTATGAAGAATTACTCGTTTATAATCATGACTTAGAGTCGTATATAACCAAACATCTCTCATTCAAAAATAAATCAATAAGCTTAACTTATAATTAAACACAATTAAATTGCAAAAAAAAAAAAAGAAGTAGAACTATGTTTTAGGTTGAAATATATTTAAAATAAGAATAACAAAAAGTAATAAAGAATGTCAACCTAAGCACAACAAATTAGACAGTTAAAGGTAACGACATGTCTCTAATAACAAACAACCTGCTTATGTATCGTACCTACATGTGCAGCAAGTAGTGACCACTGCTTAAAAATTTTAATGTGAAATGAAGTCAAATTACAGAAGGAAGCCTTTTGTCAAGAACAAAAGCTTGTTAATAAGATTATATTCATCATAGAGTACCAAACAATCAGTAGGATTGCATTCATTTCTTTAATGCCAAATAATACGATCATCCATCTGACATTAGTACATAAACCCATGATTAAAAATGTAGTCTAGGAAACTAAAAACACAATCAAAGAAAGAGCAATTATAAAAAAAACCAACTAAATAAAAGTACAAACAAAATTACAACAATTATTTCAATGGTAATGAAGCAAAAAGGAGCTTAGTCTAATGAACATCACATACCCACCTTATTATCATGCAAATGTCCACTTTTAGAATAGGGACTCAAGATACAATTGAATACAATACAATTAAAGCCAGGGAAAAAAATTGTCGCGGTACACTCACAACCAATGTGACAATGGTACACAGGGGCTGGGAGGAAGAGGAAGACAATCAAAGAAGGATAGGAACAGAGATATAGCGAGAAAGCAAGGAAAACTTGGTATCAGTGGCAGTGACGATGGCTGACAGTGGTAGTGACAATGTTGAAGGCTGGCAGTGTTGGTAGAGAGAGAAGTTATGAGGGAGATATTGTGAGAGGCAGATGTATGAGAGGAGGTTGAGAGACGTATGGGAAGTTATAATAAGTCTTGAAGAGTCCTAAAATTAGAGGTCTTTTGAAATTGTTGGGTAAAAAAATATTTTGCAGTAGTAGTTTTGGTTGTTGGATCAATAATATTAAAACAATCTCAGTCGCAAAAAGTTAAAGACAAACAAATTTTAACTACTTTATTATGTAGATATAGTATTAAAAAGAATTGAGGGCGGGCCAGTCCCCTCTGGCCAATTGGTCATGATCTAAATTCGTTAGCACTAAATTCATGCTTCAAAGTCAACTAGTGTTATAAGAACCGGACCGGACTGGCCAATCGGACAAGTTCAACCGTGACTCAGGACCTCAACCAGTCCGGTGCACTAGTTAAACCACATAAGAAAGTAAATTAGGTAAAAACCACCTAAGAAAGTGAATCAGGTAAAAACTGCCAAACAGGCCGATTTTTTAAGAAAACCGTGAATCAGGCGATTTTTAAAAATCAAACTGGTTTGAAGTCCATAAAAAAAATGAAAAATTGTCTGCTGTTTTGTTTTTAATTTAGGAAATTTTGATTTAGCCCTATCTCACATAAGACAAAGAACGACCAATGCTCTTTGTCTCACTAGAGAGGCAGCAATCAGCTGTTTTGAGAGGAGTGAGGCAGTCATCCGTGCTCAGCGACCACGCNGAAGTTATGAGGGAGATATTGTGAGAGGCAGATGTATGAGAGGAGGTTGAGAGACGTATGAGAAGTTATGATAAGTCTTGAAGAGTCCTAAAATTAGAGGTCTTTTGAAATTGTTGGGTAAAAAAANGAAAAGAATGTACTATTATTGTCCAACTTACAGATCCTCTTGTTTGAGTGCTACGGATTGTTGATAGTGATGATAGGCCTTCAATTGGCCATTTGTATATGGCTATGCATACAGCTAGGGAGGAACTATTAAGAAGATTTCAAAAAAGGAAGAAGAGAGTAGATGTTTACTTGAAAATCATTGATTCTCGCTCTGACAGACAGCTTTACAAAAATTTGCATGCTGTTGGTTATTGGTTGAATCCAAGTAACCAATATAACACTATTGAAATGGAAAAGCACAGACAGACTATCTCAGGGCTCTTGGATGTTATTGAGAGTTATGCTTATGGAAATCCCACCTTAAGAAGTAAGTTGACAAATGAGATAAAGTTGTTCAGAAATGCAAAAGGAGACATTGGGCGAGTGACTGCTATTAATGATCGACATACAATGCTTCCTGGTACTTAGAATCTTCTGAGTTTTGACTCATTCAAGTAGTTTGTTTAGTTTATTTTAAATGTTATAATTTGATTGTGATGCATCAAATGTAGATGAATGGTGGTTGTGTTATGGAAGTAGTGCACCAAATTTGCAAAAATTAGTCATTTGCGTCGTAAGCCAAACATGTAGTTCTTCAAGTTGTGAACGGAATTGGAGTGCATTTGAACACATTCATTCAAAGAAAAGAAATAGGTTGGAGTATCAAAGGCTTAAATGAACTTGTTTATGTTCATTACAACTTAAGATTGCAACAAATGTATGAAATCTATGTTAGCATCTTATTAAAAGAAGAATGATTATTTTTCCTCAAGTAAATGACGATATACATGAATTATTTGATGGGTAGAAATTATGATCCTAACGACTTTGAAGATTTCACAAGCAATGCCTCATGGATTTTGAAGGATGAGCCTCCAAGTTTAACCATACATGAAGTAGAAAGTTTTCGTAGTGAATTAGTTGCATGCAATATCCAACCAAACCTCAACACTCATACGTTTCATACTTACTGTATTGTCTTTATCACTAAAAGTTTATATCTACAATAATTATTTGATACAACAATAAATAATGTCTCTATTGGATATAATGTCGATGAAATTTTGAATTTTGAATTGGATGATGACGATGTTGATATTGAAAATGAAGACGGTAATAGGAGTGGAGGTTTTGGGACTGCAACTACTATTGAAAATATCACTCGTGTTGGAGTTGAGAATCCTGAGTTTGGCGTGGATTGAAGTTCATGGAATAGGAGCACTCATTGGAAAAATGAGAATGCGTAGAGAATGTACATTGTGTAACTTCTATCCAGGATTTGAAGAGTTGTATTTTTATTTTGCATGGCCATTGTGATGTTGTGTTCGAGATTTTTAATTTATGTTTACTTATCATTTGGATAATATGTTCTTATGTAAACTTTTAACTTTAGTAGAGATTGTAGTTTGGGATTTGGATTTTGAGTGATTTTTCTGTTATGTACTTGGATTGGAACTTTAAAGTTGAACTTTGATATTTCGCACAGGTGTTTTTTTTACTCAACTTCATTAGTTTTATGACAAATTGTATGCATTTTAAACGTATTTTATATTTTTTAAGTAAATTATTATGTTTTATAATTCCGATAACATTGAAGCGGTCAAATATAAAGGATTCCATGGCATTTTTGTGATTTAGTACACAAAGAGGGCGTCATTCTAAAACAGATGTCATGAAGAACAATTGACACGTCGCCGTTTCGCTCCTATTAAACGTTTGAAAGCTAAACACGAACGGCTAGTTTTAGTGACCGTTTGGAGGAAGCAGGCCCTATATTCAAACTCTCGAATAAGACCACCCCCATCAATCAGACAAATTTTTTTCTCACTTCAAATACAAAAACCCAGCAAATCAAATTCAAAGAAATCAAAAAATTCAGATCTTACAGCTCTGCAAATCGAATCCTCCATCATTCTTTCTCCAAATCACAGCTTACGAACCAAGAAATTGTTCAAAAAATGGTGTACACATACACACCCACATACTACACTTCACTTCATGACTCAATCACCTCTCTATGCAAAAACATCCTCCCATTTTCCTTCAAGAAGCGGCGCTTACCGGTGATCGCGGCAGCTGAGCAGAGGCTGTCGAAGCAACAGTCTGACAATCTGAAATGGCAGCAGGATTCATTTCACCAGATTCTCAACCTGATGGGTCTTTGCAAAGAGGGTATTATACCTGAAACAGAGGTCTCTAATTTTCGGATTCACCTACTTGATACCCTTATTGCTTCCCCCATTGATCATGAACAAACCACCATTTTAAGAGATAAGTTGATCTTCTTGCAGGTGAGTCTTTAACGAGTACTTGATTCATTTGCTGAAATTGTATTGGATTTATATATATGTACACACACACGCATACACACAAATCTGGGTGTTTGATTTTATCTTGTTCTTCTTCAGGGTTATTTTTGATTTTTTTTTTGTTATCGTGCATAGAAAATCGTTTTGAGTTGAGAAATTTCATATTCAGCTTTTTAATTAATTTTACAGTTGAAAAAGTAGAAAAATTAATTTGGATAGCTCATTCTATTGTATAAATAGGTTGATTCTTGACATGTCTTTTTGGTTGTCTGATTGGATTGCATAAATTATTCTTGACGATGAGTTTTGGGTTGAGGATGGTTTTTATTGAATGAAGAGGTTGAATTTATGGATATCTAAAATGGGTAGTTGAGAATTTAGAAAATCTAAATCAAATACTTGATCTTCAAGCAAAAATTAATTGAATTTGTGAAAAATGTAAATTTTGAAGTAGATTTTGTAGCACAAATTGGACTATTATTCCTGAATGTACGATAATTTTGATTGTTTTCTTCTTATAGGAGCTATTGTATGCAAAATGTATATCGGAGGAGGACTACCATTCTTCAAAGAGGCCACTATTACAAAGACTAGCGGTTCAAGGTGCTGAAATCGAGGCTAGGGACGTGATCGTTGGAGCACAGAAAGAGACCTCTGGTGAAGAATGGTCAACAATAGATTTGAAGGATGAGCACTGCTTGCTTGGTAAAGAGCAGTTGAATTCGAAGAACAAATCGAAGCAAGGTTCAGCCATGAAGCAAATTAAAGGAGCTGCATCTGTATTTAGCTTTGCATCATCTCATAAACAAGGAAAAGGAAAGGAAGAGAAGGGTATAAGTGATGACTGTGCAAAACATTTTGTTCTGAATGATCAGAACAATACTGTCCCTGCATCTGATAAGAATGAATTGAGGTTTTCTAGAGAGAACCCCTTCTGGGATATCAATTTGAGGGAGAAAGAGAGTGACACGCGGTCCATTCTCATGTCCGAGAGCTTGCCAATGGACACTGGGAAGGTTGAGAAGCAAAGTGGAGGCGATAAGGCAAAGAAAAAACCGTTCAGGACTCTGTTCCAAAGAGAGCAGAGAGAAGGACAGGGGGGTGGTGGTGACTATGGTCCTGATCCTGAGGAAAGAGTATCAAAATCAGGAAAGAAGCAATGGGGATTTGAGGGGTTCAAGAAATGGAAGAGAAGTGATTCAGACGATGAAACAGCTCNTTTTTCCTTCTATTGATTATCAGTAATTTCAGGGGATTCAAATTCCAATGCCTGCTCAAATTGGAACTTTTTTGTCCTCTTTCAATAATGTTTTAAAGACTAGAGGAATAATCATGTTGACATTGGTTCCTAAGGAATTTAGAATATACATTTCTGCCTTATTATTTGGATTGGTCCACAATGTCCTATCATCTTGCTAGTCATTTTGTTCACCTAGCTTGTGTAGTATGTCAAACAGTCAAATGGTGTAGTTTGAGCAATTCAAACTTTCATAAATTGGTGGTTTTTTAGAGATTAAGCTTTATGATTTTTTTTCATTCCCTAAAATGTTATCAATACAGTTGGTTTGTGATGCAAAGCATGTTGACAAGCAAATAGTAAATTGAATTTTTGAAGATGAATTGATACTATAAACATCATTGATTTTGAGAATCATAAAAACAATGCATTTTGTTTAGACTTGCTTAGCTCTATTGGGCAATTGAAATGGCTTATTATTAATGATATTGTGCTATTATTATGAGTTGGAATATTTGTTGTCATTGTGGATTTTATGCTTTCATTTTGTTTGCTCTAGCAAAATGTCATCTTCTGGGACACCAAATGAATCTACTCTAACCCCAACTAGTTCTACAGCTACCCTAAACACTTCTTCTACACAAGCTATAGTTAGAGGAAAAATTGACTCTGCATGGGAACATTGTCGGGAAGATGTTGTTCCTTCAAAAAAGGGGAGAAATTTGATTTGTTTTATTGCCAAAAGGTCATAAAGGGTGTTAGTATCAACAGATTCAAACAACATTTGGCAGGGATTAAAAGAGCAGTAGAACGATGTACTAGATGCCCTCCCGATGTGAGCCTTAAGATGAAATCGCTCTTAGAAAGTGTTGGTAACAAGAAAAGAAAGACACAAGATTACAGGGAAATAAATCAATATGGACCATAGTTTAGACGTTGTAAAGAGCAGTAGTACTTGCAAGAGAATGACGATGTTCAAGAACTTCCATCCTCTTTTAAGGGAAATGGCATTTCCATTGGTGGAAGTCGCAGTAAATCAACACCTAAAATGGATAGAGGAAGCAAGGGTCAAATAATTGGCTCTTTTTTTGTGCCAAGGACTACTTCAGGTGCTCAACCTACTATTAAAAGTGAAAGTAAGGAGGCAAAAGAGATGTGTGATCTTGTTATTTTTAAATGGATGATTGATGCTTGTATTCCCTTTAATGCTATGAATTCCCAGTATTATCAACCTATGCTTGATGCAGTAGCAGGTTATGGTGGTGGTTATAAAGGCCCTAACTTTTATGACATTCGTGGTTATTTATTGAACAAGAATATCGAAGAAGTCAAAAAATTTGTTCATAATTTTCAAAACACATGGAAGGAGACGGGTTGCACTATCATGGCTGATGGGTGGATAGATAAATGTAGGAGAACTCACATTAATTTGTTGGCCTATTGTCCTAGAGGAACAGTGTTTCTAAAGTTAGTTGGTGCTTCTGATGCTTTAAAGACAGTTGATATGTTATCTAAATTATTTAAAGAGATTGTGTTACTTGTTGGTGTAGAAAATGTGGTGCACATAGTAACTGACAATGCTGCAAATTATGTTGTTGCGGAGAGGTTATTGGAGCAAGAGTTTCCCACAATATCTTGGTCACCATGTGCAGCTCATTGCAGGACATTGGAAAGTTGGATGAAGTAAATGATGTTGTGTCCCATGCTTCAAAGATCACAAAATACATAACCAATCATTGTTTTCCATTGCATTTAATAAGGAAGCATACTGGTGGAAGAGAAATATTGAGACCTGCTCTTACACGTTTTGCAATCAATTTTATTGCATTGCAAAGTATTTTGGCACAAAAGGATGCTTTACGAGCTATGGTTACATCAAGAGAATGGGCTTCATCGGCATATGCCAAGGAAAGCAAGGGAAAAAAATTTGTTGATAGTGTGTTGAATTCTAGTTTTTGAAAAGAATGTACTATTATTGTCCAACTTACAGATCCTCTTGTTTGAGTGCTACGGATTGTTGATAGTGATGATAGGCCTTCAATTGGCCATTTGTATATGGCTATGCATACAGCTAGGGAGGAACTATTAAGAAGATTTCAAAAAAGGAAGAAGAGAGTAGATGTTTACTTGAAAATCATTGATTCTCGCTCTGACAGACAGTTTCACAAAAATTTGCATGCTGCTGGTTATTGGTTGAATCCAAGTAACCAATATAACACTATTGAAATGGAAAAGCACAGACAGACTATCTCAGGGCTCTTGGATGTTATTGAGAGTTATGCTTATGGAAATCCCACCTTAAGAAGTAAGTTGACAAATGAGATAAAGTTGTTCAGAAATGCAAAAGGAGACATTGGGCGAGTGACTGCTATTAATGATCGACATACAATGCTTCCTGGTACTTAGAATCTTCTGAGTTTTGACTCATTCAAGTAGTTTGTTTAGTTTATTTTAAATGTTATAATTTGATTGTGATGCATCAAATGTAGATGAATGGTGGTTGTGTTATGGAAGTAGTGCACCAAATTTGCAAAAATTAGTCATTTGCGTCGTAAGCCAAACATGCAGTTCTTCAAGTTGTGAACGGAATTGGAGTGCATTTGAACACATTTATTCAAAGAAAAGAAATAGGTTGGAGTATCAAAGGCTTAAATGAACTTGTTTATGTTCATTACAACTTAAGATTGCAACAAATGTATGAAATCTATGTTAGCATCTTATTAAAAGAAGAATGATTATTTTTCCTCAAGTAAATGACGATATACATGAATTATTTGATGGGTAGAAATTATGATCCTAACGACTTTGAAGATTTCACAAGCAATGCCTCATGGATTTTGAAGGATGAGCCTCCAAGTTTAACCATACATGAAGTAGAAAGTTTTCGTAGTGAATTAGTTGCATGCAATATCCAACCAAACCTCAACACTCGTACGTTTCATACTTACTGTATTGTCTTTATCACTAAAAGTTTATATCTACAATAATTATTTGATACAACAATATATAATGTCTCTATTGGATATAATGTCGATGAAATTTTGAATTTTGAATTGGATGATGACGATGTTGATATTGAAAATGAAGACGGTAATAGGAGTGGAGGTTTTGGGACTGCAACTACTATTGAAAATATCACTTGTGTTGGAGTTGAGAATCCTGAGTTTGGCGTGGATTGGAGTTCATGGAATAGGAGCACTCATTGGAAAAATGAGAATGCGTAGAGAATGTACATTGTGTAACTTCTATCGAGGATTTGAAGAGTTGTATTTTTATTTTGCATGGCCATTGTGATGTTGTGTTCGAGATTTTTAATTTATGTTTACTTATCATTTGGATGATATGTTCTTATGTAAACTTTTAACTTTAGTAGAGATTGTAGTTTGGGATTTGGATTTTGAGTGATTTTTCTGTTATGTACTTGGATTGGAACTTTAAAGTTGAACTTTGATATTTGGCACAGGTGTTTTTTTTACTCAACTTCATTAGTTTTATGACAAATTGTATGCATTTTAAACGTATTTTATATTTTTTAACTAAATTATTATGTTTTATAATTCCGATAACATTGAAGCGGTCAAATATAAAGGATTCCATGGCATTTTTGTGATTTAGTAGACAAAGAGGGCGTCATTCTAAAACAGATGTCATGAAGAACAATTGACACGTCGCCGTTTCGCTCCTATTAAACGTTTGAAAGCTAAACACGAACGGCTAGTTTTAGTGACCGTTTGGAGGAAGCAGGCCCTATATTCAAACTCTCGAATAAGACCACCCCCATCAATCAGACAAATTTTTTTCTCACTTCAAATACAAAAACCCAACAAATCAAATTCAAAGAAATCAAAAAATTCAGATCTTACAGCTCTGCAAATCGGATCCTCCATCATTCTTTCTCCAAATCACAGCTTACGAACCAAGAAATTGTTCAAAAAATGGTGTACACATACACACCCACATACTACACTTCACTTCATGACTCAATCACCTCTCTATGCAAAAACATCCTCCCATTTTCCTTCAAGAAGCGGCGCTTACCGGTGATCGCGGCAGCTGAGCAGAGGCTGTCGAAGCAACAGTCTGACAATCTGAAATGGCAGCAGGATTCATTTCACCAGATTCTCAACTTGATGGGTCTTTGCAAAGAGGGTATTATACCTGAAACAGAGGTCTCTAATTTTCGGATTCACCTACTTGATACCCTTATTGCTTCCCCCATTGATCATGAACAAACCACCATTTTAAGAGATAAGTTGATCTTCTTGCAGGTGAGTCTTTAACGAGTACTTGATTCATTTGCTGAAATTGTATTGGATTTATATATATGTACACACACACGCATACACACAAATCTGGGTGTTTGATTTTATCTTGTTCTTCTTCAGGGTTATTTTTGATTTTTTTTTTGTTATCGTGCATAGAAAATCGTTTTGAGTTGAGAAATTTCATATTCAGCTTTTTAATTAATTTTACAGTTGAAAAAGTAGAAAAATTAATTTGGATAGCTCATTCTATTGTATAAATAGGTTGATTCTTGACATGTCTTTTTGGTTGTCTGATTGGATTGCATAAATTATTCTTGACGATGAGTTTTGGGTTGAGGATGGTTTTTATTGAATGAAGAGGTTGAATTTATGGATATCTAAAATGGGTAGTTGAGAATTTAGAAAATCTAAATCAAATACTTGATCTTCAAGCAAAAATTAATTGAATTTGTGAAAAATGTAAATTTAGAAGTAGATTTTGTAGCACAAATTGGACTATTATTCCTGAATGTACGATAATTTTGATTGTTTTCTTCTTATAGGAGCTATTGTATGCAAAATGTATATCGGAGGAGGACTACCATTCTTCAAAGAGGCCACTATTACAAAGACTAGCGGTTCAAGGTGCTGAAATCGAGGCTAGGGACGTGATCGTTGGAGCACAGAAAGAGACCTCTGGTGAAGAATGGTCAACAATAGATTTGAAGGATGAGCACTGCTTGCTTGGTAAAGAGCAGTTGAATTCGAAGAACAAATCGAAGCAAGGTTCAGCCATGAAGCAAATTAAAGGAGCTGCATCTGTATTTAGCTTTGCATCATCTCATAAACAAGGAAAAGGAAAGGAAGAGAAGGGTATAAGTGATGACTGTGCAAAACATTTTGTTCTGAATGATCAGAACAATACTGTCCCTGCATCTGATAAGAATGAATTGAGGTTTTCTAGAGAGAACCCCTTCTGGGATATCAATTTGAGGGAGAAAGAGAGTGACACGCGGTCCATTCTCATGTCCGAGAGCTTGCCAATGGACACTGGGAAGGTTGAGAAGCAAAGTGGAGGCGATAAGGCAAAGAAAAAACCGTTCAGGACTCTGTTCCAAAGAGAGCAGAGAGAAGGACAGGGGGGTGGTGGTGACTATGGTCCTGATCCTGAGGAAAGAGTATCAAAATCAGGAAAGAAGCAATGGGGATTTGAGGGGTTCAAGAAATGGAAGAGAAGTGATTCAGACGATGAAACAGCTCCATTGTCACTTAGCGAGAAATCAGATGGTGAAACTTACTTAGGCCGACTTGTTACAAACCCTGTTGGGGAGGGACCAGATACCAAGCAAATTAAGAGGAAGCTACATTCCAATGGTTCATCCTCAGACTTTTTCGTCGATAAGGTTCAAATTCCATATCAGAATTGATAATCTGTTTTCCTTTTGAGTAAATTAAAATTCGTAATATTTCTTACTAGACCTTGGCTTTTTTTCCCTCAAACTTGTAGGTTTTAGGGGATAAAATAAAGGAGGAGCTTTCACGAATTCAAACAGAACTCGGTGCGAAAAATCCAAATGTCCAGCTTTCGTAAGCACTTTAACTGAATTAACTTGTTGAATTTTCATTTATTAGTCTCTATAGCTACTTAGATCTAAGATTTTACTAGTTATTTTATTGTGACACTGTAGGGATGATCAAATTGAAGCAATTTCAACCAGGCTTCCAGTGGACAAGACTGACCTGAAAAAGTTCTTTCCCAAGTAAGGCAACAAACTAAGCCACTTTCAGTATATTCAGACCATTCAATACGGTCTTTGATGAGCTAAATTTTCACTCTTTCTTTTTAGACAAATATCTCTCTTTTCTCTGTTGATTTAGGACATGGTGCGATCGATATGGCGATGTTGTACTGGATGTGGTGAGAAAAGAGTTCAAGGAACATGTTGGGGAGATGGGAAATTTGCGAAACGCTACCCGAGACAGGAACAACTCGAAACTTTGGGCAACATTTGACGACGATGAAGAAAATTGCCACCCAAATCTCTTCGCTCCTCAGGATCATTCATTCCCCGTAAAACAATCAAAATTCATTTCTTTGAAGGATGATCGTGTGTCAACTAGCATTAGCAGCACAGATAAGTGCTTCAAATACAATCCCTTCTTTGATGATTGATTAGACCAACTGAAAGAGAACTATGCCAAGTCCTTAATCACCTTGCTCTCTGGACTTCTAGGCATGGCCATCTCTTCTATGTTGGTTTAGATGGAACCAGACGTATTATATATGTATGTAAAATGCATTTCTTGTAATGGGTTAAGAGACTTATGATTTCCTGGTCTGTTGATGTATGAACTGTACGAAGAAAATTGTTCTTCTAGCTGCTACAACAATATGATTGTATGCTACTCGAGGATCAAAATTTTGTTTCGGTGCATTATTTTCGGACACTTAAGAAACGAAAACGTTTTAACATGTTTCAGAAACGTTTTGATCTGTTTCGAAAATAGAATGAAAAAAAATAAAAAATTTAAAAATTATTTTTTCAAAACATTGGTCGAAATATACCAAAATATTTTGATACCTTGAAACATTCTGAAATAATTGTACAAAATATATTTAAATATAACAAAATATTTTGAAATATTATGAAATACCTCGAACTACTAAAATTTTGATTTCATCACTAATTCGTTTTGATCTCTTTGAAAATAAAAACATTTCAAAACGATATTTTACTACTTCTGACACTATGTGAGATTATTACCACCATCTTGTCACAAACAAGAGAGTTGATACTAAAGAAATACACTTGAAAGGTGGCAGCATTGTTGATTGCTGATTGCTGATGGCTTGTGCCAATTTTTCCATTCGAAGAGAAAAACTATTACTGTTGACAAAATTCAATTCAACCCCTCGCTCACAATTAAAAATAACTACATAACCCCCAAAGGGGAAGGTGGTGTACGAGGGGAACGGATCCAGAGGAGAGGGATAAAAAGGTTGCTTGAGAGAGTCTGTTTGGCATGGGTTGTGGGTGTGGCTTATGGACCTTTTGGGTATGGGTCATGGATTTGAATTTAGTAAGGGTGTAACTTGGACTGGTCAATCCAAATTCAACTTGAACCCAACCTAAAAAAAATAGGATTTGAGTTAAAATTTTTAATACTTGGGTTGGTGCCTAGAAAAAAAAAGTTCAACCCAAATTAAATTTGGGCAAGCCACAGATTGAGGCATCGGGTTGAAGTCGATTATTAAATCGGATTAAACCTGAATATACATAAATATATAAATACTAATTGATGCACACGTGTGTGTGAACTATATTTTATAGAAAATCATATATATTAAAGTCATGAACCAAAATTCTATACATTCACTTGTTTGGTAAACATTGATAAATAATTATCGAAGAACAACTAAATCCATAAAATATACTAAAGAAAATAATATTTCAAGTTGACTCAAATAGATCATTCTCGATTCCATCCTTATATATCTTGTCTCTCATCATAATTGGAGAAGGTTAAGCAGCAATTATATGAGTATCCACATTTCACCCCAAATGGAAGCAAGAGACCAGCATTTTGTGCTTGCTTCCATGAAAAATTGCAGGCTGGGGAAAGTTGCTTCCGCTTACAACAATCTAGTTTCAAAGATAACATGATCAGACAGGTAGAAATATAATGTACCAACATGAGAAAATGTAAACAACCAAACAAAAACATCAGGGCAGAGTCAAAAGATTCAGTTTAAATGCGTATTCTGCGATCTGCTCTCCTCGCAAGGGCAAAGTCAAAAGATTCAGTTTAAACCACTACTTATTACTCCGGCAAACCACTTGCCTAGGATGTTCATTTTTAAGCAACCAAAGCATCAGTTCAGAAACCTATATCGAAACACTGGTGTGCATAGTCACTATAAAAAAAATATTCACTGTTGTTAGCTTGATGCAAACATCAAACTCAAAAATTGCAGTAGATAAATAAAAGAAAATATACAAATAAAGCAAGAATAATGGTGCGGGTCAAAAGGATGAACATCTACCCACTCTTAAGTTGCAATGCAAAGCAAAGCATCACATCCAATCAAAACAATATGGAAAAAGCCATCCACTTCCTCTGCAAGAACATCTAATCCTTGTGAAAGCTTCTCACTCTTCTTCCCCAAATCTGAGATAGAATTTTGGAATGCTTTAACTTCAACAGGTCCCACCCCATTCTGGATCATGGGGTACAATTTGTTGAAAACTATATAATTTGCCTCAAGCTCTCGCAATACTGTACACTTTCACTCGAAAATATATTTCTTATCCCTCTGTTTAAAAAAAGGCTGCAGCTCGATAAAAGCTCTTGCCCACAAGCATATTTTGAGAACTTGGAAATCCCTCAACTTCTTTGCCGAACCTGAGAATGCAGCCATGAAGATGCTACAAACAAAGAAAGTTACCACCTTAACTCCATACATTGCACGCATCAAAACCTTGGCTTTGGCTGAGTTTTTCACCTTAGGAGGTTAAGTGTTTTAGTAAGATTGTCTAGGATGGAATTACAGTTCTCAAGTGTTGAGTTCTTTCAATTAATGTGTTTCCTCCAACCATCAAATGAAGCATGAGCATGCAAAAACTTTTTTGGAGTGGGGCACTCCAAGTTATGCAAGACACATTGAAATAAGTGATGGCCTTGATTCAGGCGTGACAGCTCAGACCTGAAAAGCAACTTCACACTATTGTCCAGATATACATCAATCCATTTCCCATCCCAATTCAACACAGGGGTGGTGTTTGGATCACCATGGAAGGATTGGATTGAATTGGATTTGAATCCAAACCNATCCATTTCCCATCCCAATTCAACACAGGGGTGGTGTTTGGATCACCATGGAAGGATTGGATTGAATTGGATTTGAATCCAAACCTAATCCAACCCAATGCAAAGTAGTCCAGATTGTAGGATTATAATCCGGGATTCAAATCCTATCCCACATTTGGATAGATTTTATTTTGTCTGTGGAACCCATTAACATGTGAAGATAAAACATGCTAAAATGACTATTTTACTCTTGTGTAAACAATGTGATCCAATCATATACCATGTTTGGAATGGAATGAAAAAAAAAACTCAATCCATTAGCATAGTTTTTTTTTACAACAAAAAATATGAATATCAAGGAGATTAAAAAGTAGAACATTTGGTTTTGTATTTAATTTTACTTTGTCATTGTGTGATGATGTCTTGTACCCAGATTTGTGTTCAGTGCAACATTGTATTTAGAAGTAGAGAAACTGCCTTCTCTTGCAAAACTAATTCCAAATTTCTTCTATGGCGTGCGCAGAGACGCAAATTTGTAGAACAGGAACTTGAGAAAGTGCGGGAGGAAATTCTATTGCATAAGAAACAGTCTAAGGTTGCTGAAGATGCAAAAATGCAAGTTTTAAAGGAGCTGGAGAGCACTAAGAGGCTCATACAAGAATTGAAACTCAATCTGGACAAAGGTGATTGACAGAGAAGAGAGGAAANCAAAGACCAGACTCAAATTTCAAGGTAGCAAGGTGTTAGATACCGAGTATGCTAGTTATGAACTCATTGTCAAATGAACAAGTTCAAACCTATATGTTTGTGGTGAAGATAGTCCATTTACTTCTATTGGAGGTTTTCCTGAATACAACATTATTCTAAATTTGGTAGNGAAATGGGTTTATATACTTGGCCAAAAAAAAAAAATTCCCTTTTTATTGAGCTTCTGTTATATAGATAGATACAGAGATCTTTTCTGGGAAGAAGGGGAACAGTAGTCCACACTTTGCAACCCAAACCAAGCTTATTATAAAATTCTACACACAGGAATCACAGTTACCAACATAATACACCAATACAGAGAAGAGAGAGAGAGACAAAGAAGGGAAAGAGAGAAACCTGGACCTTGGACTTCAGCACCGTTAGTGGGGGAACCAGTGGGGATGCTGTGTGTTGGAAAGTGATGGAGCTGGGTACCAAAACCTAGCAAAAAACATTGTTTAAGGGTGTAATTTGTAATTTTATCATTTATCCCTTCACTAGGTTTTCAATCCTTCCGTGGTCATGGGTTCAGATAATCCCTTCTGACCTGGATTCAAGTCCAGCCGTAGAGCATGCCGAGTTTTTAAATCCCACGAGGAGAGGATTTCAAATTTTTCAACCAAATTTGAGATAAGTGAGCCATTTCACTGTTTTAATCCAATTCCATTTTTAATGCCCTCAATCCTGTCAAACAAACACCACCAGGGAGTTCAAGGGCGGTAATGAGGACTTTTATATTAGTGTGCGTGTCACAAAGGGACTTCATTACAACCTCATCCTTGATAGGCTAAGTACAACCTCCTGTCTTTTGGCTTAAGCTTCCTAAACCTCTCTGCCAACGTTTCCTCAAACGTGTTCAACCGTTCATGGAACCATGGAGAGAGGTGTGGGCCCTTAGGTAACACCATGCAAAATGGATTTCCAAATGGGAATAGTGGTCTATGTGGACCCCATGGAAGACTCATTNATTCGAAGTTATAGGTCTTTGTGTCAGGCAAAATTTTCCCTAATAAAATAACTAATGTCCACTATCTTTTTTTAAAGTTAATAATAGCATTAACATCAACTAATCCATTCTTTCAGACTATACCAATTCTATGCACTTTAAATTGATTTCCTACCTCTAAAGTCTACAGAACGCTTCCGGTGCAGAGTTTTTTGGTGTTGCATGTTTTCACTGTATTAAATTCATGAAGACAAACAACAAACAATGCCACAAAACGAAAATAAAAATAAAAAAGAAACACAATTGAATTTCTATACAAATACTAACAACCAGAACTCGTTAAGTAAATTCAAACCCAATACCCTCTACAGCTACAAGTATCAAAAGATTCAAATTTCGTTGACTATATAATAAAGACTTATATGCAAGCTTAAATAAAAATAAAAATAAAAATAAATTAAAAGTTATTTTTTCATTCCAGAGGTTGAATTTAACGAATAATTTTGGCGCTCGATTAAAGAGAAAATTATATTATATTATATTATATTATATACAAAATGTATAAAATTACAAGAGGATAATGACTAACCCCAGACATTAGAGGAATGATTTGTTAACAAAAATTTGTTACCTGAAGAAGCAGTACAGTGATGTTTGTGCAATACCAAAAAACAAAATACAGACGACGTCTGACCGAGAAGGGCGAAGGCCGTTGACAATGCCAAATATGAACTGGGAGGATGTGTGGGAAGTGGAGCAGTCATTTTTATTTTGGCCATTACTTCCTGTAATTCTAGAATTAAAAGAAACAGAGCGTGTGTTGCTAATTGATATCTAGAATGGCAAAGGGTGCAAGGGATTGCGATCGTAACTGATTCTCAAATTGAATTAGTGTAATTAAAGAAAATTTGGGAGAAATAATGGGCGAAGA